CCATGGAGGTAGAAAAAGATGACAAACTACCCTTTTTGGATGTCTTAATTAAAAGGAGACATGATGGTTCAATGAGCCACTCTGTCTACAGGAAAGCTACCCATACAGATGCTTACTTGAAACCGGATTCCCACCACCATCCATCCCAGAAGAACTCCCTCATCAAGACTCTATACCATAGAGCCCAATGCATTTCCGACCAGGAACACATTACCAGTGAACTCAAGCACGTACACCAGGCTCTCAGGGCTAATGGTTACTCCGACTACACAATCCGCAAAGCCATCACTCCAGTCATGAAGAAGGATCCTCTTGTGGAGCCACTAAAAACCATCACCTTACCCTACATTGCAGGGGTCACTAAAAAGATCTCCAAAATCCTGAATAAACACAAAATCCAGGTCCGATTCAACACAGTACATACAATTCGTGATCTAGTTCCATCTGTAAAAGATGCTGTTCCAGACATACAGTACCCGGGCGTTTACAAACTAAAGTGCCTCTGTGGTAGTAGCTACATTGGAGAAACCAAACGACATATCTCGGACCGCATCCGCGAACATAAAGCAGACTTGAAACACGGTAGAACGAACTCCTCTGCCGTGGCAGATCACTGTTATAATTCAGTGGGCTCACATGACATTGACTTCTCCAAGATGGAGGTTCTTTGCAAACCAACCGGCTACCATGAGAGATTCGTTCATGAGGCCATTCACATATACAAGCACAGAGACAATTTCAACCGAGAAGATGGATTCTGGCTTAGTAACCATTGGAAAGATGTTTTAAACCATTTCCGTTCTTAATTAATTGTATTTTACGATGACCTTCAGACCGCAGCTCTTTCGCTGGCATTGACTCTTAATACCTCTCACACCACGGTTAATGGTATGGTTTACAACATGGAGTATAACAGCGCCTCGCAGCTGTCTCTCTACCTCTCCTCTGTTCCGAACATGGATGAACTCGTCCGTCTGAACGAGACCCGTAGCTATCCGTGTTGCTAAAGTTGAGGGTAAGAATCCACCCATTTTTTCGCCATATAGCATTGTGATATATAACGACTTATTGTTGGTAGCTTAGCTGATTGGCGAATATAGAGTTTATTAATAACATTGAGGTAATTTATATTTTAGTTTTTTATTGGTTCACTATGTAGTATTCATTATATATTGTATTGTATACCCAGTTACTGTGAATAGCTCAGATGTGTAGGCCTTGACTTCAACATAGCCATTTCTGTGACCAGTCACAAGCTAATCACTCAGTTATTGCAATGCTAAATTCGCCTAGTTATTTCAATGCTAAATTCTCCTGTTTGATTTGTACTAGGTGCCTCGGTGAATGTATATGCTCTAACTTTAACATAGCTATTTCTGTGACCAGTTACAAGCTAATCACTCAGCTATTTCAATGCTAAATTCTATGCTAATTCCTTTGTCAAGGGGTGCCTCTGCGGATGTGTTTACTTTAACTTAGCTATTTCAATGCTAAATTCTATGCCAATTCCTTTGTCAAGGGGTGCCTTTGCGGATGTGTATGCTTTAACTTTAACACAGCCATTTCTGTGACCAGTCACAAGCTAATCACTCAGCCATTTCAATGCTAAATTATATGCTAATTCCTTTGTCGAGGCGCTTTGTTTCTTCTCACACAGCTTAAAGGTCGTGATCTGACCGTGGCTTTTTCACTCCAGCGCTGTCCTCCAGACAGTCTCGTCCTTTCACCTGATGAAGGCCGCTTGTGTTGTGGCCGAAACGTCGTGAGAATATTATTGTGTTATTTTATTTTATCAATTTATTATTTTATTCTCATTCTACGTGACTTTACCGAAAGAACCAAAGAAGATGAAACTTTTAATACTTTTATTTTGAAACTAATACTCACCACAATAAATATATACCATTAATTTAGCATTTTAAGTTTGTTTTTAACCATTAAAGCCCTGTGTAATATTCACATTGTTGTTGTAACTTGCTGGCCCGCCCCTTACTGGACATCTGTGAAAACAGCTTCATAGCTCATCGGATTCCTCCTGCTGCTGCAGTTTTAAGTTTCTGATTGTGACGTTGCGCAGGAGCTGAATACGAATCTCTAAGTCTGCTGCTTACCACGACGAGAGGGCTTCAGCAGAGATGGAGACTTCGTGTCGTCTTGATGTTACTCCGCTGTTACCGGAGCGCAGACCACAGCTGTAACAGTCCCCAAGCCGAATATCAGCAGACTAACAACAAATGTATAACTGTGTTACAATTACAATGTCCACTTCTCGACACGTTTCAAGCAAGCTGTGTGGACTTTCTATGAACTGTTTCCGTTTAATTAATCTCGCCGTCTGCAGGCTTGTGGTACACACACAACGTGACGCGCACGCGCGCGCACACCAAGTGACGCGCGCGCGTTTAACAAGAACAATGTGAACCCTCCATGCAAGTCGCTGTGATGACTTCCATGATTCTCATGTGGCCTTTACATTTGTAGGAAGAGAATTATATTTAATAACAAACTATTAATAAGAAAGTATTTTTTTTTACTATGAAATGTTTTACTATGAAATGTTTAACCGCTATGAAAGAGTGCCATTTTAATCATTTGTACAATCTGTCTTGGTTGTTGCAGTGTTTTAGTATCACGCTTTATACGAGACAGTTCAGAATGTATTACGAATAAATTGGGTATGGATTCAGAGTCTCGAGTGTCCGTGTCTCATTCTCTGACAATCGTTCACTGCTGTTGAACGTCTTAACGCCTCTATTATTGTGATCATTGTTATTATTGCTGCCGGAGAGGGTAAAGGCGTCTTGTTTTTAAAACATCGTCTTGTTTTTAAAACATCGTCTTGTTTTTAAAACATCGTCTTGTTTTTAAAACATCGTCTTGTTTTTAAAACATCGTCTTGTTTTTAAAACATCGTCTTGTTTTTAAAACATCGTCTTGATATTGGCAAAAGAGAGTCCCAGAGAGAACGAGCAGCCAACACCGCTCAGCCGCTCCAGGCAAACCTGCACAAGAACCCCATCGCCACATCCATCGACTGAAGTCCAGGACACTGAACTTATCTTAGTGTTGTGTTTATAAAGTCCCTTAGGTCAAGGCGCTCTATATAAGATACACGAGTGTATCCGTAGTAACACAAACAGTGCTTCAGATGGGGAGGGCAGTGGAGTGAGTGAGTGACCGTGGTCGAGGGCGCGTGGGGGTCACGGCAGGGCTCCACGGGAGGGCCGGGGTGGAGGGGTGGGAGAGGAACGGAGCGGGCGATGGAGAAGAGGCGAGGAGGCCTTTGAGAGAGGAGCGGGACGAGGTGGAGGAGGGGATCCGCTTCATGTCCTGGGGCAGTGCCGAGTCTCCGGGCAGTGCTGAGATGTTCAGACGAGAGCGGAGTGATGTGTTTAGTCCGTGTGTAATTGTGCAAGTGTGTAATTGTGTAAGTGTGTAATTGTGTAAGTGGACTGCATGAGCTTGGCGCAGCGAGCCATCGGCGTGGCTGGGAGGGTTCGCGCCCGGGTTGCGAGTCGCACCAGACGCGGGTCCAACATCGACGGTTAATTTTTATGAAATAAAATAACACTCCTACATAGGGACTGCATTCAGCAATTGCCAAAATGCACTTTGTTACTCTGTATACACTTTCATTCGTGTATTTTTTTTTACAGATTATATTTATACAGAAACCCCGTGTGTAACAGTCCCTCGGATTTCGCACGCAATTTGGATGGAAAGCGTTCAACGTAGTTGCTGCCCCCCCAAAGTGTTTGTAACCACCGTCTCTCATCTCTTGTCATCTATCTTTGTCCTCATTTAAACCGACTGTTAAAATCGATAAAGCGATGTAATTTTGCAACATAATTGCTATTAGTATTATCATTTATCGTAAAGTAAATTACCTGTAATAGTGGAATGCTTTTATGTTGTCTGCCGGCCGAATCACCCTTCTTAGCTCTCCGGCTTTACTCGGTGGGAAATGAACTCCTGGTCGTGAGCGTCACACAGACGAGAGGCCGAATCACTCGGCTCAACCACGAAGGGAGCGTTGCACGTGAGACCGACATCGACACAGGACGCGTGGCGTGCTCACCTCACGGTCCCGGCTCCAGGTGCGGGGTCCCTGGCTCCAGGTGCGGGATCCTCGGCTCCAGGTGCGGGCTCCCAGCTCCAGGTGCGGGGCTCCCAGCTCCAGGTGCGGGATCCCCAGGTAACCCAGGTGAGTCCAGCGGCCGCTCACTCCGTCATCCCCCTCTGCTGTAAGGGGATTGGTCCCTACCGACCCCCCGAGTTCTCAGTGCATGTCAAGCCGGTTCTGTGCTGTGTGGCGAGGCGTGTCGAGGCGTGGCGAGGCGAGGCGCACCTTAAGTTGGGTGGCTTCCAGGATCCGTGTGTGTACGTTTGGTGGGGAGCGGTGGTGCAGCGGTTAGCGCGCTGCACAATGGACCAGCCGACCCGAGTGTGATTCCCGCTCACGGCCAACACCGGTGACGATTATCTGAATCTGTCTGGGGGCCTCCCCTAGGTCGACTCAGCCTCAAATGAGTAGCTCGTGCGATGTGCGAACATTGTCGCTGTGGAGACAAAGGCGGCCGGGCATGGTGCTGGCCACCCAGCCATCGTGTGGCGTTCCGCCCTTCATAGGTGCTCGCTAACATCACTTGCCCCGAAAGTCTGTGAATGCTAGACGGGGCATCTTTTGTCTATTTTTGGGGCGTATACGGATGGGCAAAACCATCCGATACGTCTTCTCTTTTCTTAGATTTACACAGCGCCTTTATTCAAGGCGCTTTACAATAATTGTACATAAGATGATCGTGGTTGAGATTATAAAGTGGGGATGCAGAACATTTACATCAGACATTTCTTCCAAGCTCCACCAGCTCTGTTCATAAATCGCACCCCTGGTGTCGATACATTGTTCTAAACCCCGAATGGTCAAACTCTAAAACAAAAGAAACCCAATTACACTTCAGAATAACCTTCATTCATAGCAGCACTAAACAGACGTAACCTTCAGGTGCAACACACACGTGACTGCGTGTCAATAATTTTATTGAAGACCTAACGGTCAACAGTACACACTATAAAGTTATCTGCCTTTCCTGGCAGTCTATGAAAGAAAAATTAAATAAAATTAAACTGTCGAATTCCCGTGCGCCACCAAACACCCTCCAAGCCAGCGTCCCACCCTTCGACGTTTCGGCAACGTGACACGTGCGAGCGTTGTATATAACTGACATGTACATTCATAGCACTGGGAAGCTGGGAAAACTGGGCTGTGGAAAGTTGAGAATCGACCAAGGTGGGAAGCAGGCACTGCAGGGCTGCAATTTTAAGTTGCTGGGCAGAATGTCACCGTGGAAGGAGACGGGTCAATTACAACTCCACTGAGACCAACACCCCAGTTCAGGTCTTCCAGAACGCCTGCATCTACCCCGAGAGAGTGCAATTCGTGTCTACACATTCGTGTATTTCAAAACACTGCATTTTACATGCTCTTTGAAATCAATGTGAGTAGACATACGGTGGAAGTTGCTTGCGATTTATAAACGCGCTGTCGAATTGTGACGAGTCATTAGAGGCCCGATGCCTGCCAAATACTTAGAACTGTGTACAACCACGGCTAGTTATTAAATATAAACATGAAAGCCTTCGAAGGCATTGAAAGATTCGGCATTTGTTGAGTATAGTGCCAGGGTTATAAGAACGCTCTCATTACACACAAAGTGCTTGCCACAAATGAACCACGAGACCTCGCTGATCTCGTCTAGAAGAAAAATCATCACGCAAACTCCGGTCATCCTCGCAGTGGCTTTTGGATAACCATTGAAGATGGTCACTGTATCGCACGATTTCAGATGCGCTTCTGCGGCCGTCTGGAACGCTCTTCCTTCCGATATTTTACATGGAAAACGAATTTCTTTAGAACTGCTTTTTCTGTTTAGTTTTTTTCCCTCTCCCCCCCGCACCTCCAATTAGCAGTTGGCTACGTACGGTGCAAAAAAGTTCAACATACATAGAGTTGTAATAAGTACAAATTCTATGGTTTCCAAGTATAGACAAACACACACAGAGTGCCTTTAGAAGATGATTGGACATGATAGGGATGTGTCCACAGAGGGTAAGTTACCAAAGCATCAAGCAAGTTTAGCAACCTGTGCAGTTCAGCAGCCTGCAACACCACGCAATGCATCAACAGCGGTCAAGTCATGGAGTCACCGTCCTTGAACATTCCGAGATGCTCACGTTGCGACAGGCAACATCACCAACAGAGGTCCTGTGTTGGGGGAAACAAATATGGCTTAAAGCATCTCTTATTTTGACGTTCTCATCTTTCCACTGGTGGTGACGATGCTTTTTCTCCAAACTCAACATAAAATCACTTCTCTAGTCAATAGGAGGCACAAGGCGTTGGATGTTGTGTATTTGAGTGGATCCACAGCTGATCACTGGGATCCCACGAGCTTTTTGGCCAATATTGGGACAGAGTTCATATTGTGCGAGGAGGTTTGAACGATGTTGCTAGATCAGACACGAAACGTTGAAGGCACCAGGACATGAGGAACAATGCAGTCGGTGCATTGTGGTAAGAAAAAAATGACATTTTCTGGCATGCCACATGGTGTAGTCTGTTTTTTTTGTTTCAAACTCGACTTATTTTTTGGGGGATTTGTTTAAAACCCACAGCCTTGATTTGCAGGCAGATATAAAGCACTGCGATAATTTTTTTACGTTTACCAATCAAGACCAATTTAGGCTCCAACATTGATGGAAATCGGCTTTCCATTCACCGTTGGTCCGATCCTGGTTCTGTTGTGGCTCGGTGTTTCCAAGCACAAAAGCTTCTCACAGCAAAAAAAAGTTCCCGAATACTTGGAAGCCTTAGTGAAGGAAAAGTTACTTGGAGCTTCAAGACTGAACACCGTCAATACAAGCTCAAATCGTCAAACGCTCCCGCATCTCATACAACACGAACCTCCTGGGGGGTGGATATATTGAAATTTAAACACAATAAGATCATTTAGATTAGTAAATTAAGAATGGCAGAATCGGTGGTAGAGTGAAGTATATATTTAGTTAATGAATTACAATTTCACCATGCCCAAGAACTGGCAAGAGAAGACGCAAAATTAAGAGCCACACATGCAAAGTTTAGCTTGGGAAGCAGGAAATCAAGGCACTTGCCCATTGGTGTTACCTGGCTGAATACAGGCGGTGTCCGGATTATGACGATCCACATTCACGTTTATACAACGCCACCACAAACTCCATTTGCGACGCATCTTCTGACACGGCTCCGAACGTATTTGAACAGAGTCAGTCTGATTTCCGGCAAGTAAAACGAAAAAAAAAACATCGCCAAGTTGTGTTCCTACCGTTTCGATCGTTTATGGGGAACAATATGGGTCAGGTTCACAATGACGGCGTTTCCAGGACCAAGTTGTGACGTCGTAAAAGCAGGGACCGCCTGTATTCTATAAACTCTCCTCTCCCATTGAGAACCTCCACATTTGCTCGAACGTGAACGTGCAACCTGCAAAATATTTCGGGAAGACTTCCAATCTGGCAACGCTGCGAGTGGCTGTGACCATTTCGTCCACAAGCGTTGGCCGGTCTGTGTATGGAGGGGGGAGGCAAAGCTGAGGGAGGAGGCAATGGTGTATCACGGGAGGCAAGGGTGCGCATCACGGGAGGCAAGGGTGCATCACGGGCACGGGGTGGCAGAAGCCAGCACCACACACCTGGGCTCTGACACGGCCCCGATATGGCAAGCCAAAATTGTACCGAACACCGGCGTTTCATATCACCAGATGTATATCTCCAAGTAAATGTTAAGGCGTCTTAAATGTTAAATGACAAATGTTTTAAAATATTTTGTTCGAGACTTATTCCTTGCAATGGTGTATGAATTGGTTTTGGGGTTGTTTTTTTCTTTCAGATTTTTTTTTACAGTTTCATGTCCATTATGATATCAGGAGTTCCGGCTTGGCCATTAACCAGGCCAAAAATTAATCTGCAGACGCACACATTTACAATGTTATCATTTTATCAAAACGCTAATCATATTTGGATCAAACAACACAATTTCCTCCATTGCATATATTCATTCAAACAACAAAATGTACAATTTGTCCTGTATCCATTCATCCATGGTTGCTTCAAATAAAAAAAATATAACAAAGCGTTGTTGTTTAATGAACCTCGTGCCAATGCAGATTTCCAGTGGGTGGTAGCGTTATCAGCTGTTGCTGTGGGCATGGACATAAGCGAAATGGTTGTGTAGGCGTTGTCAATGGAGGTGACGACCGCATTGGTGCTGCTGACATGACTCGTGCTACTATTGCTGCTGCTGCTGGTGGTGGTGGTAGCCCCCAGTGGTGGAGTGGCAGGCAGGTGCCCATTAGGCAAAGGCGTAAAGCCTGCCTGCCAGCCGGGCAAGCGGGCGAGCAGCGAGCCCTCCCCCGTCGCTGGGCAAACCACGCGGCTCGCCTCTCAGGAGTAGCTGGTGGACTTCCCTACGTCCTCATCCTGGGAGCCCATGCTCTGCGGCGGAGAGAAAAACAAATGTTAGTACGGCCAATCCCCGTTTAACATGCAGCGTTTGTACGACGCTTCAACGAGGTTTGTATTTTATGGGACGTTTTCCGCTTAACGCGCCCGTTATAACGCGAGTGAAGTAGCGTGTGGCAGCCTACTCGCTATAACGCGTCAGGGTTGGGATCAAACACGACCTCCTGCATACCAGGCGAGGCAGGTAACATCTCGCCACCGCAGCACCCCCTGGATAGTCCACTGGTTAAGGACCATGGAGATGCACCGATGCATTCACGGCATTCGGCCGGCCAGCCTGAAGCCAGAGGCGAGGAAAAACCTGGTGAACTCGTGGAACTCAAGACAGTAGGGCATTCTGACCACAGGGAATTCTAGTGAACATATACTTCAGATATAGAAAGATATTTCTACATTATAAAATTATATATGTTCACAATAGCAACTGTTTGAAGTATTATTCGATTATGTAAACAAAAAGTCTACCCAAAAAATAAAAGGCACACTTATTTTTTTTTGCCAAATACCCCTTTGACCAAGAAATCAATCTGAAATGATGACGAGAGAAGTGGTCATTACGAGGGAAATTTTTCATCCTTTGTTGAAAATTGTGCAGACCACTTGGATGCATTATGACCCATTATGAATAAATACCACAGCCAACAGCCACATATTCCTGCACGTATTACGTCCATTATCTGCAAGAGAAATAAAATTAATAAACATATTTACAAAAAATTGGTGGAAAGCAATCTACCCCCGACTGCACATCTCCACCCTGTTGTTCAACAGAGTCCACATCTGTCAAGGGGTTTACGGTCGTATGTTGAACCTCTTTCGCACCATACGTAGCCGACCAGCGATTATGCTACGGAGAGACTGGTCACTGCCATAGCTACAACTTTCCACGAATGGCTCAGAAGTCCCAAAGCAAATTAGCACGGCGCACCGCTCGTGTGGGCACGAGGGACAACAAGAGTCCGACTACCGAAGCCAGCAAGGCACAACAATGGGCGGCGCGACGATGGAGAGCTTCTGCTTCCGTTTGTGCGAAGACTCCGGCGCAGTGCTTAAGTGTGAGTATTAAATCCTGCAAACCAAGTTAGGATAAGGCTGCTGATGGCAGTTGGGTATGGCAACCAGCTGAGAAGCTCTCGAATGCAGCCCTCAATGTGTACCTGGTGTACACATTGCATCAAGTGCCAGACTTAGGGGGGAGGGCACTTCATAGCTGGGCAGGAATTTGTTTGGGAGTGGTGGTAAAAGAGGAAAAGCAATGTTGTACTAAACTTTGTTATTAAAGGTAAGCATAATGGAAAATAAAAAGATTAAAACGTCTTTTTATAATAATTTTGTCTGGTGTATTTAATGTCACGTCGCTTGTCTGAGTGATGTGAATAATGTCATGGTGCGTGCATCTCGTTTTCACGGTGACCCCGAGAAGTTACGATTGTTGTCAGAGCTGGCCCGGAGGCCCAGACACTGGCTCGACAATTTACATTTCCCCAACCAAACGAGCGAGCCAAGTGGCACTGCATTCTGACTAAACCATGGCATATGCCTGTCTGGTCTCAACCCACCAACATCCCCCCCCCCATTCTCTTGCCATCCACCTTGGCCCAGTGACAGACCTCTGGGCAAGTGCAGCTTCACTGGGCAGCTATCTAGGTGAGGTCTGTTTAACACCTAGGCTTTCATGACCAATATTGTCCATAATGAAGGGGATTTTTTTGGTTAGATTGTGTAACCCAAAACACTTTTTATTAGGGATAGGTGAGGTCTCTTAAGGAAGTGTATGATAGGCCCAAAACGTCAGTCGCATTGCTCAAACGACCATTCAATTTCACCATACTTCGTTGGTGCAAATGAATGGGAAATTCCACATTCCTATGCCAGGAGAATGTTATCCAGAGTACAACCACTTTTGATTTCACACAAGGTAGCATTTATTTTATTGACCGCGTATGGATGTAGACTGGGTTGATCACCGACTGGGATTTGAACTTCAAACCTTTTGTGTGTCCAGTGTTCTGCCAGAGCATCACCACTCAGCCAATTAACCACGAGTGTGCGTTGAGACCACTACGTCCGACACTTGAGGATCGAGTTTTATCTCACACGGAGGCTTCTGCGAGAAATGTTGTGATTTGTAATCAACGGTTAGGTGAGATCACGTGCGGACAGTGCCAATGCGTGTGGAACAGTAAATAAAGTTGTCGTGTGAACAAACATGACAATTTATGGACCAATTTAGTTCTGCTTTACTACCCAGGAATGCCTCACCGAGTCTCAAGACACTCTTTCGGAGGGTCCTGCCAAAGTTTTCGCAGTAGGGGGTTGCTGCTGCTGTGTGTGAGTAAATTTGCAGGTAATTTTTCAGCATAGAGATGTTTGGACAATACGAGTTACTACACTGTGTGATGTTTTGTTTTAGCTACGAGAGTAAATCGGAGAGCGTGGAGGAAACCCATGCAGAGCAAGCGGAGAGAACATTCAAAACCCGCCAAGGAAAGCCAGCCGAGTCGGGGATCGAACCCCGACCCTCCTTGCTGTGAGGCACAAGCATGGCCACCACCGCACCACCGCCCCGCCTCCCCAAGTGTGTGTGTCGTAATTATTTTTTGAGTCGACGTCGCTCATTCGCGTTCCGGCAATGTCTTCGTGGCACAATTCACGTAAAAATTATTTGTAACATAAATTTTCAGCTGACTTTGGAATACAATACATACCCCTGGCGGGGAGACACTCTGCCTCATTGTGTGCAGTGTCCCTCTCTCTTCCGTGTTAAAGCACTCGTGCCAACGGTAACAAGGTAGGGGTGCCGTAACAATACACACACCCGCGTGTTGGCACATGCATGTCAATTTAGAAAACTGTATTCCTGAAAAACATTTATTGAAGGCCAGGTCAGCGCCATAGACAGGGGCGCCACAGTGGCTAGGAGATGTTATCTCCCTCGCCTGGTATGCAAGAGGTCTGTGGGTACGATCCTGACCCTGACCCCTGCTGGAAATTTGGAGTTTGCATGTTCTCCCCGTGGTCGCGTGGATTTTTCTCCAGGTACTCCGGTTTTTCCCTCCACATTTAGAATCAACATGCGTTTAGAGTATTTGGCCGATATGAATTTCCACGTGAGGATGATAAGCCACTTCGTTGAGCTATCATTTGTTGCCAGGTCGCTTCTGAAAAGAAAGCTAATAGGTCAGTGGGCTTTACCTGGTAAATAAAAATATTTAATTAGTTTAGTTATGCGTTGCTCCCAGTATGTATGTAGAACGTCTTTTGCACCGTACGTAGCCAACCGTGCTAATCGGAGGTGCGGGGGAAGGACAACAAAAGTAGCTTCCCCAGAGCCTGCCGAGGTTTGAAGAAGGCGCTCTCTTGTCTCCACTTGCAAGCACGTGTGTTTTATCACCTTACCTAGCCCCACGTGTATGCAGCTGTCATATTTGTACCTCAACTTTACCTCTTTAATCCGTGAACTTGAAATGTAATTACGTTATAGGGCCTGGGTGGCTGCGTGATCTCCCCGGTAAAACGAAAAATACCTTTCCGCCGCATTAGCATGCTTGGCTACGTACGGTGGGAAAGAAATTAAACATGCATACGTCCGTAATAGTTAACGTCCACCAACCTTCTGCACGAACTGGGGGTTGATGGTGATCTCCTGGTCCATCGCCCTCAGCTTCTCGTCCAGCTCGATCACCTTCTGCATCTGTAGGGTCCACAGAACGCGCGCAATTTAGCCCAAGAACAAGGAACTGTGCGCACGCACGCGCACAAAGCAGTGAGAGAGCACAAACCAAAGCAGGCTAAGCATTCAGGCCGTCCATGGGGGGGGGTGTGGGGCAGTGGGGCAAATCCCACCGTGTGGGCCTCCTCCACCACGCCTTAAAACTAAACTGGGAGTATTACGTCTTGACGCCGTGAGGTCGAAACGTGGGGGGGCACCCCAAAGCACGAGGCCCAGGGCAATAGATGTGTTCCTGAAAAGTGCAGCGTTAAGCGAAAACAATTTCCCCGTAAATCAAGTAACGATAAAGTTTTGGTGGAATGACACAGTAATGCGGCGACGTAGCCTCAGTGATATGTCCGCCATCTCGCTGCGCACGCGTACATTACATCGTATCTCGCCAAATTTTATCACTACATTATTGACGGTGAAAATTTTTTCGCTTCACGCATTTCTTGTTTAACGCGGCAATTTCCAGGAACACATCGACCGCGTTAAGCGAGGGCTTGTGAGTGGCAAGATGTTAACTTGGGCCACAGTTGCGAGATGTTTACCACCTCGCCTGGTATACAGGAGGTTGTGGGTTCAATCCCGACCCTGACGCCTGCTGTATATTTGGAGTTTGCGTGTTATCTCCCCGTGGTCGCGTGGATTTTTCTCCGGGTCCTCCGGTTTTTCCCTCTACATTTCGAATCGACATGCACTTGGAATATTTGGCTGCTCTAAATGTCCACATGAAAGCCACTTAGTTGAGCTATAATCTAAAAGAGAGCTATATAGCTTCTTGGGCCTAACCTGGAAAAAGTAAAAAAAATGGTTTAAAATAGTTTAAACCGACTAACTGTGAACATATCTTTTATTTGTGCTCAACTCATATAATTTTGCGAGGCAGCAGCTAATGATAGATAGGAACCGAGAGATCTTATTTCGGTACCCCGTCATACCTCTTGATCGATGTAGAGCAGCATGGCAGGGTTGTTGTATTTCTCTGGATTGTCATGAAAACACACCATCCCGTCCTTTTGATTAATGCTGGCAAAGATTTCCCCATCCTCGATCTGTGGAACAAAATTTCCATACGAGCAAGTTATAGCAAGCGAGGTAAAACTGCTGCATAATAATCCAGCCGAGGCGACATTCAAAAGCTGTCTTCTTTCCAGATGCATCAAAGTTAAAAAGGGGCTTTGGGCAGCTCGCCGCATCAATGATGCAGCACGTCCGAAGTTCTGCATCCAAGTCTGGGTTTATCCACATACATACATACATACGAAGGCAAAGATCAACCATATAGCCTTAACAGACTGCTGGGGAAAGTGCTGTTTGCGAGCACCCATTATGGTCGACAAAGCACGCAAGGAGGTGGGGTAGTTGGCCAGCACCATACCCAGCCACCTTTGTCTTTCTAATGCTGATATTTACACTTTGCACCAGGTACTCATTTAATGCTGAGTCCACTTAGGGGAGGCCCAGGACCGATTCAGATATCCTATGTTAGCTGTGAGTAGGAATTAAACTCGGGTCACTCGGTTCATAGTGCAGTGCACTAACCAGTACACTACCACTCCCCATCACATACAAACAACAACCACACATATATGCACAAGACTTAAACACGTATACATCAGACATCACATAGAGCCATGTCGACTACAGGGGAAAGTGCTGCGAGTGAATTAGTGAGTACTGGTGAAGGCCGTAGCGGTGCAAGCGCGTACCAATTTTAACACACCACAGAAAGTACTCGTGTATGACTAAGCAGACTTAGCGGAAGACCGAGCCAACTGATACAAGAGAGCTGCAAAAGAAAATGTCAGCATGGAAACGAAACAATTGCTATTAATAGCGAAACCAACATCCTGTGCTGATCCTCATAAAAAAACACACAATTCCTAGATGATGCGTGACAGGTTTGTTAAAGCATGTTCCTCCTGTAGCAATGATTCACCACGCTAAGTGCAGTCACCAATAAGGTTTTCCTACACATATTGACGACTGCAAATACTGCACGTCGTAAGTCGATACCGCCCACACCACTAAATGCATTGGTGAAATGAGGCAAAAATAATGAAACGTCTCTCTCTCTCTCTCTCCATTGTTCAAGCTGGCAGAAATATATGATGCCGCAATAATTTTCACCGAGAAGAATGCCATTATGTTGCTGCATTGCAATCGGATTTGGAGAAAGTTTCGTAATCACGAAATGATCAATCAGCATGCACTTTATTTAGCCAAATGGTGAATTCACTTCGTTAGTGCCAAGAGACACGGGTAACGGAGGTTACGTAAGAGTGGCCCAACACAGTGCACAAAAGCACGTACTTATGCACTGATTCATCAATTAAAATCAATAGTTTCACTTAAAGGCACCCATTAAATCGTTCGTGTAGGAATATATTATTTTTAATTGGTAGGAATTGTATGCAAATGATTCCAGCCATTAGAGGTGCTACATTCACCACGATATTAAACACAAACGATTGACTCCTGAATGCAACTGCAATTCCTGACGTGATAATTCAAAAGGGAAATCAGCTAAATCGTGAGTCCACACTGCTACCATCTGAGGTATGTCTATGGAGATCTGCGATTACACGCAACAGTTTAGCGGCAAACGGATAAGGCTCCAGATTGGCAGCTCTGTCTGCGGGGATTCAGTGTTGCAAGTGTGCGCAGCAACAGCAAGCACAATGCCGAAAACCAGTGTCTCCCTTCTTGAGAGTTGGCAGAGCTAATTTTAATTTGTAAGGCTTTTATCCGTAGATCTGGTCTTTATTTTTCTGACCTGTTGTCATTACCGTTAAGACAATCCTAAAAATTGGCGAGGCACTTCTAATTGTCTATTAATAGTTCCCCAGATCTCGCACGAAATTTGGATTGAATGTATTTCATGTAGCGACTGCCCCAAAGCGTTTGGAACCCCACCCAGTTTCGTCTCTTGGCATCTCCATTTAGCAACCTCTTTCCTTGTTTAAACCGACTCTATTAAAATCACTAAAGTATAAGTGTGACTGTAATTTGACAACATAATTTTTATCTGTAATTGTGGAAAGCTTTGATGTTGTCTGCCGGGCAAGTCGCCCTTGAAAAAGAGCTTCTTAGCTCTATGGGCTTTATTCAGTGGAAAATATACTGCCGGTTCTAATAATGTACCTGTGGTCGTGGGTTCAATCCCGACCCTAACACCTGCTGTATATTTTGCGTTTGCATGGCTCTCTCCCTGTGGTTGAGTTAATTTTTTTCCGGGTCCTCCGGTTTTTCTCTCCACATTTTGAATCAACGACGTGTTTAGAGTATTTGGCTGCTGTAAATTTCCACACAATAAGCCACTTCGTTGAACTATTATTTGTGGCCAGGGATCTTATGAAAAAGAGCTAGATAGCTCAGTGGGTCTTACCTGGTCAAATATATATATTTTTACATGGCAATTCCAGCAGGATACGCTACCTGTAAACAAAAACAATCACTGCACCTACATAACCGCATTATTGAGTTGAACCACTGGTCGCACTCACCATGTGCAGGACGTACTTCTCTGCTTCCCGGGGGCCAGACAACTGCACCCTATTGGCCATGTCTTGCAGAGAGAGCGTTAGAAAGGTCTGCAGGCAACACACAAAAGATGGAAACACATTTACAAATTGAGATTAACTCAATCTAGTCATCGATTGTGTTGCATATTGAACGTAAGAAATATCAACCCTGAATCAATAAATCAATCTTTATTTTACCTGCCAATATCAGCCCTCAATAAAGTGGACATCAGTGTACATTACAACAGAACGGGAATGGTACAGGAGGTCGGAAGCAACAGGGATGAACAGAGAAACCCGTCACGACCTCAGCGGCTAACACTGACCGAGCAGAGTAGATTGCAACGGCGAGTAAGATAGAATGCAACCGAGCGCAGCAAGCTGCATGAGTTGTCTTACCTGCGAAACCACGTTTCCTAAATCACACATGATCATGCGTGGCTGTACAGCTTACGTAACATGGGCCAAGATTTATATCTTCACAAAACAGCCAATGCAGGTGGTACCCTGATGAGCAAAAATAAAATTGACTTGGCTTGATTGACACTGTTGCTGCAAAAATAATATCGTGCAGAATTAAAGAAGATCATTGAAGCTGGTAGCTACACACCTCAGCAGGTATGTAACATTGACAAGACCGGCCTGTTTTGGAAGCGTATGCCTGCAAGAACTCTAATTTCCAAGGAAGAAAAGTCTGCACCACGCTATAAAGTAGCCAAATATTATCTGACAATTCTTCTGGGTGGCAATGTAACGTATGTATGTTGAATTTCTTTCGCGCCATACGTAGCCAACCGTGCTAATTGGAGGTGCGGCGATGCTGCAGGAGCAGACATTGGCCGCTGTCGGCCCGGCGGACAGCATGGGTCAAGCAAACACGCACGCACGCACCTTGGTGAGCCGCTGGATGTTCTTCTTGTAGAGGGAGCACACGCACTGCTTCACCAAGCCCATGTTGCTGTCGTTAGCGAAGGTCTCGCTGTGCTTGGCCACGGTGCCGCGCAGCTCGGCCGGGTTGTTGGTGGCGTAGGCCTGCGCCAGCTCGTGGTACGCGCTGCTCAGCGGCTGCGCACGCAGAAGTGACGAGCATCCAGCAATTAACATGACTTCCACGGGTGAGTGGCTAGATAGCTGGGTGGGTGGATGTCTGGGTGTCTGGGTGGCTGGGTGAATGGATGGCTGAGTGGCTCAGGGAGCTGACGCTTTGTCACAGTACTGAACTGAGTTTTAATCTGTTTACAGCAACGGTAAAGACACAACAATGTTTGCGCTCAGAACGGCAGAGCGATAGCAATTTCGATCGGACCAATCTAATTGGAAAACGGAGCCAACAGGCCGTCGTGAAACACCTGCACGCATCTGCGTTTTCAATCGCCAAACAAGAATTGCACCATAGCTATTGGCTGCACAGCATCCGTACGTCACATGAGGTCTGCCGAAAGAATGTTTTTGACACCGCTGTTTTATTAACGCTCTGCTGATCCCTCGACATGAACAACGACGACGACGAGGCTTTTCCACGCTGTGTGGAAACCTAAGGGCGCTGGGGGGCAGTGTGGGCAGCAGGGGGTGCTTACCTTGATGAACCGCCCGACAATCTGCGATGTGTACTTGGGCAACGCCAGCACCTTGCCATGCAGGATGAGTGACACCACTATGTACTTCTTGTATGACTCCAGCATTATGTGACTGACAGCCATCGCCGGGGTAGTAATCGCCTGGTTACAACGCGCAAGGGGATAACATGGGAATCACGTCAACCACTGACTCCACAGGCAACAACAGAGCAACCGAGCTCTCTGGGTACATGTGGGGAGTTAAAACCCATGTTAGCCATAGCAGAGTGTAACCGCAAACCTTCGGCCATTGCGCTGGGTCCGGTTATGTTCTTGAAAATAGCCGCAATGGGCAAATCCGCAAACTCAAGGGCAAATAAAAAAACGAGGGTTTGGTTCACGGTTTCTAATACGACACCCACCCTACCTTTTTATGTTACCCGACATCAACTCAAACATTCAACAGCAAGTATTTAAATAAAACTTACAGCGAGGGAAAAAAAGTATTTGATCCCCTGCTGATTTTGTACGTTTGCCCACTGACAAAGAAATGATCAGTCTATAATTTTAATGGTAGGTTTATTTGAACAGTGAGAGACAGAATAACAACAACAAAATCCAGAAAAACGCATGTCAAAAATGTTATAAATTTATTTGCATTTTAATGAGGGAAATAAGTATTTGACCTCCTCTCAATCAGAAAGATTTCTGGCTCCCATGTGTCTTTTATACAGGTAACGAGCTGAGATTAGGAGCACACTCTTAAAGGGAGTGCTCCTAATCTCAGCTTGTTATCTGTATAAAAGGCACCTGTCCACAGAAGCAATCAATCAGATTCCAAACTCTCCACCATGGCCAAGACCAAAGAGCTCTCTCCAATGATGTCAGGGGCAAGATTGTAGACCTACACAAGGCTGGAATGGGCTACAAGACCATTGCCAAGCAGCTTGGTGAGAAGGTGACAACAGTTGGTGCGATTATTCGCAAATGTAAGAAACACAAAAGAACTGTCAATCTCCCTCGGCCTGGGGCTCCATGCAAGATCTCACCTCGTAGAGTTGCAATGATCATGAGAACGGTGAGGAATCAGCCGAGAACTACACGGGAGGATTTTGTCAATGATCTCAAGGCAGCTGGGACAAGTCACCAAGAAAACAATTGGTAACACACTACGCCGTGAAGGACTGAAATCCTGCAGCGCCCGCAAGGTCCCCCTGCTCAAGAAAGCACATATACATTCCCGTCTGAAGTTTGCCAATGAACATCTGAATGATTCAGAGGACAACTGGGTGAAAGTGTTGTGGTCAGATGAGACCAAAATGGAGCTCTTTGGCATCAACTCAACTCGCCGTGTTTGGAGGAGGAGGAATGCTGCTTATGACCCCAAGAACACCATCCCCACCGTCAAACATGGAGGTGGAAACATTATGCTTTGGGGGTGTTTTTCTGCTAAGGGGACAGGACAACTTCACCGCATCGAAGGGACGATGGATAGGGCCATGTACCGTCAAATCTTGGGTGAGAACCTCATTCCCTCAGCCAGGGCATTGAAAATGGGTCGTGGATGGGTATTCCAGCATGAAAATGACCCAAAACACACAGCCAAGGCAACAAAGGAGTGGCTCAGGAAGAAGCAAATTAAGGTCCTGGAGTGGCCTAGCCAGTCTCCAGACCTTAATCCCATAGAAAATCTGTGGAGGGAGCTAAAGTTTCGAGTTGCCAAACGTCAGCCTCGAAACCTTAATGACTTGGAGAACATCTGCAAAGAGGAGTGGGACAAAATCCCTCCTGAGATGTGTGCAAACCTGGTGGCCAACGACAAAAAACGTTTGACCTCTGTGATTGCCAACAAGGGTTTTGCCACCAAGTACTAAGTCATGTTTTGCAGAGGGGTCAAATACTTATTTCCCTCGCTACGTGCATTCCACGGCAGTGTCATCATCGTCGCGAGCACAGGAATCTCGCGACTGACCGCTAACGGTCGAGCCACCACAGGGGGCACGATCGGGGAACTGTACCTTCATAGATTTGGCGCAAAACCGCGAGCTAAACCCACGAGAGGGACCATACATCATCACGCAAACTTCGGTCATCTTCTGAGCAGCTTTTGGCTGGCCATCGAACAAAGACGGCTCACCGAATCGTGCGCTTTCAGATTCGCTTCTGCAGCTGTCTCGAACGCTCTTCCTTTAAATATTTGGAAGTCACTGGAGCTATGTACTTTTAAATCTAAATTGAAAACTAATTTCTTTAGAACTGCTTTTTGCGTTTAGTTTGTTGTCTTTCCCCCGCACCTCTGATTAGCAAGGTTGGATACGTACGGTGCGGAAAAAGTTCAACATACATCCATACCTGCTCGTAGAAGTAAAGTGCTCGATCAAAGTTCTTGAGGCCCGTGTAAATCATGCCACCATAGTAGTAATAGCAGAGGAAGTGCTTCGCGTCAAAGGCTCCATTTTCCTTGCAAATGTCCATCATGTCTGTGTCCAAATATGGCAGCGCTGGCTTGAAGCACTTGGCCAACAGGCACAGCTGCGAGGGGAAATCACCACAGAGTATACACGGCCAATGTGAACTCAATTTATGATACAAGACGCATTTAATTCAGTAGGATCAAGTGGGAAAATTAATCTCGCCCGCAGGGATGTCAAACCCACAGAGTGAAGAATGTATTCTAAAATTACAAACGTATTTTTAAAATTGGTGGGTGAGTGGGTATCATACTTGTCAGTGCTCTTGTCACTGGGTAGGTTTGGACGGTTATTTATGGTGTAATTTTGGCCTGTAACGTACCTTTTGCCGAAAAGTGCATGGTTAAAACTCTGCTTGGGTTATTTGTGCTGTATAGCATTATGCAAGGTTGTTGCCACCTTGGTATCTTGGGTGCTGGATACGATCGCGACGTCGTGCCAATGTGGTTGGTCTGTAGAGCCGCCTTACCTGGCACAGGTCAGCGTGGATGGACGTCAGCTGCGTTGCGCTCATCTGCATTTTGTCTATGGCCTGCCTGAGGATACTGATGCCACGGAGTGCCTGAGTGACGCACATAAGAGGTGACAGTCAAAATGCATGACTTTTTAATTTTAACAATTAAATGGAATAAAAACAAGCCACATGCTTTCAAGCTCAGAAAGAAAAGAAACATTGAGAAGTGCTAATCTTCACTGACGTGTGAAAATTGCACTCTCCCATCTCGTCAACCCTCGTGAGAGTTTGGGCTCAACTGAAGAGGTTTAAATTAAACCTTGAGATTGCAATCAAATGCTCTATGTCACAAGCTGGCCAAACACACAGCAAGAGCGATGAAATAAATGAGTCTCTAAAAGGGAGTCAACCACGCAGACATCCAAAACATGGGGCTTTATTTGTGTTGAAGAAGGAAGAGCAGTTTATGATGTTTGTTGAAAGTGTTTTTCTGCCAAATGGGTTTTGTCTGGCCATTTAGATTTTTTTTTTCCCACCAACAATTGGGAATACAGAGAAATGTCAGACACATAAGGAGCAATGGCAAAAAGGTCACTATGGCGTCTACGTGAGGGTTTTCTCCTGTCTATCGCGTTAGCATACTATTCGCAATAAAATTAATATGTCTCACGTCTGCAAGTCAATGTTTGGCACTGAAATCTGCTCGGTGGAGGCCCCACCTCTCGTGTGTGAACGTATAATTAGCATGCATATTACATCAACCCAACTCCCCAGAAATAGCCGTTCGTCTGCTTAAACACACGGCTCATTGAATGCTCTCACCTGCTTTCGTTCTACCAGTGCGTTTGTGAGCATGTGACAGAGGCCAGCAACTGCAGAAAGAGAAAAAAAACCAAGCCGCAGGCATGTGAAATCCGGTGATTAACGTACTGATTCACTTCTAAATTGAAAACTAATTTCTTGAGAAACTGCTTTTTGTGTTTAGTTTGTTGTTTATTGTAGCGACTTATATAATGCATGTGTGGAATACATCCCGAATCTAAAAGGGGATGCTCAAATGGCATCGTTAATCGAGAAAAGGAACATAGATCCAACGTCTGAAGAAGGATCTGGAATAAATTACAAGGCAATAAGGTTAAAAAGCTCGCATTCCTGGCAAATCCATGTATATACATAGCAAATACTATAATAATCACAATATACATAGCAGCACTACAACAACAATAATGAATTTTGATTTAAAGCTTTCGTGACTGCAGTAATTCATATTCTTAGTTTTTTCGGTAAAGTCACGTTGAAGGGAAACAACAAAATAATAAAAAATATATAAAACATTTTTTATTGTTTTATATATATAAAACATTTTTATTGTTTTATATATTCATAATAAAGGTTTTTGGGTTAGATCGCGTTTATTTATAAATGTGTCGTAACCCTCCACCACCCGACACGGCCAATCAGCAAAGAAAAGTGTCACGTTGACAAAAGACAAATAATTCACTACTTCAGCCCACCGGTGTGTTGAAGAGTTAATCCACATTTATAGTTTGAGTACGACGTTTCGCTGGTAAATACTTCCAGCATCATCGGGCAATTCGCCAGAATGGTAAAGCCCTCGCTTGCTCCCGGTTTTATATAGAGCAGAAGAGTGACGTCATCACTTAACTCATCAGGTGCAGAGATTAGAGGCGGAGGGGGGGGTAATGTAATTATATAATCGATTAGTAATCAGTCATTGGTTATGATTAGTAATGAGTTGTAGATTAGTAATTCTTTAAATCAAAATGTAATGTGTATTATTTAATAATACGCTTCCAGGCCGCACTGAGCCGGTAGCTGTCAGAGCGATTAAAGTTATTCTTGTTCCTCTCAATTTCAATGGATTCTCTAATTAGTCTTTGCCAGTAATAATTAGTTTTACACACCACTGCAACATTGTCAAAATCAATTGAGTGTCCTTGTTGACAAGCATGTTCTGCCACTGCCGACAGTTGTGTTTGAGATAATTTAATATTTCTCTGATGTTCTTTTAGTCTTACGCTGATGTTACGTCCCGTCTGCCCAATGTAGCAGCTGCCACATGAACAATTAATCCGATATACACCTTCTGTTGATAGTTTTGATATTATTTTGTTGTTTCCCTTCAACATGACTTTACCGAAAAAACTAAGAATAACAATAATGAAGTACAAATATGAACTATATAATTTACATACTATTCTGTCTCTGCAGGCACAGTTTATTTCTCCAATTGACAGTGATACACAACTGCTGGAAGGATGTTTTGTCATTCGTGAAACACTCACAGCTGTCTGTCGCGAAGCGTATATGCTCCCCATTGCAGGCACCGATAAAGAGCTGGACTTGAGAGAAGAGCGTCTCAAAGTCCGGTACGTTGGGCATAGAGATCTTTACATACCTGAGGAAGGAATATTCTAATTAGCAAATCACAACATTAAATATTCTTCGGTGCACCGGCATACACATTTGTAAAACCTACAATATTCATAGCAGAATACGGTCTTTAGTGTTATAATAATAATAATAATTCAAATTTATAATACGTATTCCATCGTAGGATCCCAATGCGCAAATCCTGATCAGGAAATTACCCGCTTTAACAATGATGCACAAATAAAACTAAACAATTTATCAACATTTTTTGATTTAAAGCTTTCGTGACTGCAGTAATTCATACTCTTAGCTCTTTCGGTAAAGTCACGTTGAAGGGAAACAACAAAATAATAAAATATATACAAAACAATAAAAATTATCACGACGTTTCGACCATAACACAAACGGTCGTCATCAAGTGTGTCGGTTTGCATTAATTTATTTATTTTTAAGGTGTATTTATTTATAAAAAACGTCAGCGCCACGCGCAGCGATTTGGCAGTTTATTTAGAAGGACTAGTCCATCTATGTTCTGAAAAGAGGAGGGGGGAGACGAAAAATTAATGTATGCTGTCTGAAAGCTACTGTAAGCGTGAACAATCAATTAAGACCTGAAATGGTTTATCAAATCTTTCCAATGATTGCTAAGCCAGAATCCATCTTCTCGGTTGAAATTGTCTCTGTGCTTGTATATGTGGATAGCCTCATGAACGAATCTCTCATGGTAGCCAGATGGCTTAAACACGGTAGGACCAACACCTCGGCCGTGGCAGATCATTGTTATAATTCAGTACGCTCACATGACATTGACTTTTCCAAGACAGAGGTTCTTTGTAAGCCATCTGGCTACCATGAGAGATTCGTTCATGAGATTATCCACATATACAAGCACAGAGACAATTTCAACCGAGAAGATGGATTCTGGCTTAGCAATCATTGGAAAGACTTGATAAACCATTTCAGGTCTTAATTGATTGTTCACGCTTACAGTGGCTTTCAGACAGCATACATTGATTTTTCATCTCCCCCCTCCTCTTTTCAGAACATAGATAGACTAGTCCTTCTAAATAAACTGCCAAATCGCTGCGCGTGGCGCTGACGTTTTTTTTATAAATAAATACACTGTTTAAAATTAAATAAATTAAAACAAACCGACACACCTGATGACGACCGTTTGTGTTATGGTCGAAACGTCGTGAGAATTTTTATATATATTTTATTATTTTGTTGTTTCCCTTCAACGTGACTTTACCGAAAGAGCTAACAGTATAATTTATCAACAGGTTAAGTTGTAAAATGTGAGTAGTCTTTCACCTGGATAAATAAAGGACAATAAATTAAGCATGTTTTTTTTTTTATTAAACTAAAGCCCTGTATTAATATTCTGTTTTTCATGACAACGTTAATCCATCACTTAAAAACCAAACTCGTTGAGGCTGTCCCTGCCAGAACATGAATGCATCTCTGACCTGTTCAACGAGAGAACCTTTTTAGCCAAGTATATCCTCAATTACATTCACTAAATAACTACGATGACAACAGGGCCACCTTGCAAGAGATTACACTATGTAACGCAATTTTTGTTCCTGGGTAGTAAGTGTTATTTCGCAATTGCTTATGCCTAAAAAGTATAGAAAATGGCTATTATTTCTAGAAGTTACTCCAAGTTTACTCGGCACTGAATCTATCTGGAATATTCTGTAAAATAGGTAAATTTCATAATATCACTGTCCTGGTCACAAAAGCAAAGTTTGTGGGGAATAATAGCCATTTTCTGTACTTTTGAGGCATAAGCAATTAGAAAATAACACCTACTAGCCAGGAACAAAAAAAAAATGTTACACAGTGTTATTAATCTTGACAATTTCTCACATGTTTAAATGTTAATAATATTACCCGAATATATAATGCTACTTCCTGGAAACCTGTATATGCAATCCTGCTTGCTCGCACATTTGCCCCAAATTTCAAGAGCCAATGTACTCATACATATATTGATTTGTTCTCCAACTCACGTTTCCCATATATTTCCACTGCGTTATTTAAAGCGTGCGTCTCTCCAGAACTGGTCAAAATTCAGATTTCTCTTCGGCAACCATAATTTATTGTCCATGCTAAACCAGTAGACTTGAAAATACCAGTAAGTATCAAAGGAATACATTACTTCAACAATGATGCTAGAAAGCACTGGGAAATTTGGCTAAAATTTTTACAAAATAAAGGAGCAGTCCTGCCATTTCTTGCTCACATCACTGCTGGTGGAAGGCCTCATTCAAGCTGCCCAAATGTCTTGGAAATACAGCAGATGTAATTGATTAAAATAGTTTTTTGTTATGTGAACAATACTTGTATACAATTATGCATGCAATAATTGATTACTGACGCATTATACAAACAGTTAAGACTCAAATAATGACCTCGAATGGAGACAATTAATTTGGTCATTGTTACGCACCGAGTACCTAAAACCCATAACCACACAGTGTATAATGGCTTGAGTATAAATTTTGTGGCATATCTGATACGCTTGGGACTCAGTTATAGGTAAGAATTTACATTGAATTTACTTTAATATCGTAAAAAAGTTGTGATTAGTTTTTAGTGTAAAGGCTCTTCTGTTCTGAAAGCCATGTTAGCCAATGTTCACCCTTGCATATCAGTGGCACTTGGCCTGCCTCCGGCTGTCAATTTCTTGGTTGCAGTTACGATGTGGATACAGACGTCGTACCTTAATGATTATCGATGTTTTGAGTCACCTGCCACTAAAACAATCGCACACTAACATAAAAACGATTCAAACTAAACTATTTTTTATTTTACCATGCAAGGTCCACTGAGCTAAACAGCTATTTTTCAGAAGCGACCTGGCCACAAATGATAGCTCTACGAAGTGGCTTACCACGTGGAATTTTATAACAGCCAAATAATCTAAATACTTGTCGATTCGAAATGTGCGAAAATGTCGTTAAACCCACCACTAACCGACACAGCAATTAGTAAGGTTTGTCACGTAAACAAAACATGCCAATTCGCTATGAGTTCAGCCCACCGATGTGTTCAAGAGATAGTTGTAGCATCATCAGGCTGTCCGCCAGGCTCTCTGTCTGGTGATGCCAGTTATAATTACTGGCGAAACGTCGTATTCGAATTGTAGATCTTGTGCGTTTTTACTCTCCAACACACCGATGTGCTGTGCTAGTAACAAATTGGTATGTTTTGTTTACGTGACAAACCTTACTAATGGGCTGTGTTGGGTGGTAGTGGGTTTAGCGACACATTTATATTTACGCAATCCAACCCAAAAACATCTATTATGGATAATATTGCTCGCGAAAGCCTACGTGTTAATTCAGACAAACAGCAGGGTCGGGATCTAACCCACGACCTCCTGCATACCCGGCGAGGGAGTTAACATCTCGCCACCGTGGCGCCCACACGTGACACGCCACACCAACGGTGTCCGCCAAGGGAAACTCACAGCACAGCGAGCACGCCGAGAGAGTGCTCTTGAACGTCGAGCGCGCCCAGCACGGTGTCCAGGTGCGTCACATTCTTGGCCAGCAGCTCCACGCTCTTGTTGATGAGGTCGCATAGCTGTGTCATCTGGCCTACATAAGGCAATGGGGAAAGAAGAAAAACATTAAATTTAATCACCCAACCAAACGGTGCAACTCTTGGTTTTGCCACCTACGTATGTGTATGCCCTCTATCATGATTGCATATCGGGTTCAATTAAAGCAATATATTTTTAAAAATGTAATCACCAAAATCTGTCCACGGAATAGCTGTATTTAATGGACGATGTCATCTCAATTGAAACAGATAACTCTCATAATGTAGGTACCGTACATTTAGTCTCGATGTTAGGCCAGACCAAAATCAGAAGCTAGACCTATACATTCATTTGTGAACAATCAGAATCTTGATTTATACTGGAGGAAACAGATGAGCTATGAAGTTTTTTTAAAAAATACAGATGTCCAGTCGTTTAACCAGACTGGATTGTGAGTAGTTCACGGATCCTTCAAAGATCTGGACGTAGTCCCCATCAGCGACCTCGTTCGGCAGGCAAGGCTGCGTTGGCTGGGTCGTGTATCCCATGCCCAGCCACCTCATGCAGCATCTGCTTGGCCGGACAGATGGGGATAACCTTTCGCGGCACGGGCTAAAGAAGAGATGGACTGATTTGGTATAGGATGTGGAACTAATTGGACTTGTCGATGACTGGTACCAGTGGTGTCAAGATCAGCTTCTGTGGAGGGGGCCTATGAAGAACGCTGCTGGGGAGGTGGAGGCAGTCGCTCAACAGCAACAGCGGAGGGAAGTGGAACGTTCACAACACCGAGCGGAGCGCCGGGCAGGTAAAACGCAACTTGACACAGTTGGGAACATACTTTGTGCATCTGTCAGTCATCTCAGTCAACCCATAGCAACCTGGTCTGTCCCGTGAACTCCTCCTGTCAACAGCCAGAGCCTCCGGCACCTCACGTTCATGTCTCAAAGTGCTCCTGCCCTGGCACAAGCGCCGTGGTGACGTGGGCCACCACCACTTCGTGGCGACCCGCGGGCGTTGTTATTGGTATGCACCAGGGGGTGTACACGTCATGGGTGTGTACGCGTGTAACGCCTCTTACACCAGTGGCGATTGTCTGAATCGGCCTTGGGCCTCCCTCGTGTGCCGTGTCGGCCTTCACGGACACTACCCCAGCAGTCTGTTGAGGCTGTACCGGGTGCGGGGCGGTCGTTGTTTTGCTTCAAGTCAATTTGACTAAGGGTGGCGGCAAACCCCTGGGGCCCTCCCTCTCTCCCTGAATCCGCCAGCTGCGGCCCCCCGTATGGAGGATGCTACGCGGGCGCCTCGCCACCCTCCTCCTCCCTCCTAATCCTCGCCTGTCCGTCTCCTCTGGTCCCCTCGCCCCCTCTCGTAGCCCCGCCACCCTCCTCGCCCGTCCGTCCGCCTCGTCCCCCCTTTCCTTCTCGCCCCGCTCGCCCGCTCGCCCCGCTCGCCCGCTCGCCCCGCTCACCCTGCGACGAGAGCTGCCGAACGTTGTTCACGAACTGCTCCAGGCCGGACGCCATGATCACCACTGGGTCGCCCCTACGATGAGCAACGCCGCCTGCAATTGGTTGACGCCGCGCCCAATGGCACCGCGCAATGGAGCTCAACCGCTGGCGCATGCGCGTCACTTCCATTTAATCGGGTGGGGGGGGGCGTCATATCTGGAAGCGATGGCCGCCATGTTGGGTGGGGGGTGGGGAGGGGGCGTGGTCGGAAGTTGTTTGCAGGAGGAATCCGATGAGCTGTGAACCTCTTTGAGGCAGATGTCACCACCCTATATAGCTATCCTGTTGACGTTGAGTTGTATTAGTTCATAAAATGTGTTGCCTCCAAGTTCAAGTGTGCGGCTCATTTGAACTCACTGCATATGGATGGCTTCATAAACGAATCTTTAGAGAAATCAATTTTGTGTGAGCCAACCGCATTAAAATAACGATCAGTCACGGCAGAAGTATTGGTCCTACCGTGTTTCAAATCTGCCTTATGCTCACGAGCACGGTCCGAGACATGTCGCTTAGTTTCCCTAACATAACTGCCGCCGCAGATAGAGCTTAGTTTGTAGACGCCGTGATATTGCATGTCAGGGATCTTGTCCTTCACAGATGGGATCAGATCACGAATTGTATGTACTGTGTTAAATCGGACCTGGTTCCTGTGTTTGATCATGATTTTGGAAATATGTTTGGTGACCCCTGCTATGTATGGCAAGGTGATGGTTTTGATTGGATCCTCAGATGGCTCCTTCCTCACGCTTGGGGTGATGGCTTTGCGGATTGTGTAGTCAGAATATCCATTCGCCTTGAGAGCTTGGTGTACGTGTTTGAGTTCACTGGTTAGGTGTTCATGGTCGGAGATACATTGAGCTCTATGGTGTAGCGTTGTGATGAGGGCATTCTTCTGGGATGGATGGTGGTGGGAGTCTGGTTTTAGGTAGGCATCAGTATGGGTTGCTTTCCTGTAGACAGAATGGCTCATTGAGCCATCTGGTCTATTTTTGATTAGGATATCCAAGAAGGGTAGCTTGCCATCCTTTTCTACCTCCATGGTGAAGTTGATGGCTGGGTTTATGGAATTGATGTGGTTGAGGAATTGGTTCAAAGCCGGTCGGCCATGTGGCCAGATGACAAACGTGTCATCCACATACCTCTTCCACAAGGACGAGCGTAGAGTGGATGCCTGGATGGAGTCAGTTTCAAAAAAATTCATGAAAACATTGGCTACAACCGGAGATAAGGAAGAACTCATTGGGGTGCCTTCAGTTTGTAGAATGTTCCATTCCAGGTGAAGTATGTATTGGTGAGGCAGTGTCTCACCAGGGCCGGTACATCAGCATTAAATCTTTGTTGGACCAAATCTTCAATGATTGCAATGGTATCGGGGACAGGAACTTTGGTGAACAAAGCAACTACATCGAAACTAACGTACAAATCACCTGGGGACAGTGAGATGTCCTTAATTGACGATACCAGGTGAGCTTAGTTAAGTACAGATGAAGTGGTCTTACCAGTGAATGGCTTTAAGGTCTCAGACAGATATCGGGCCAGTTTGTAGGGGGGTGAGCCAATGGCACATATGCCCCGCCCACTTCGTTCTGACACCAGGACGTTTTGTTGGCACTGCATGTTCCATGCTTCCACCGCCGGAGCGCTTGTGTCACGCCCACCTTTTTTTAATCCTTTAAAAACGGTTGCCTTCGGTGACCCCCTCTTTCCTCCTGAAGACGATCGCTTGTGTTGTGATCGGAACGTCGTGGTTTTTAGTTTATTTTTATTCACTTTTTTAATTTACGTGACTTTACCGAAAGAACCAAAAAATATGAATTCCTGCAGTCACGAAAGTTTTAAGTCAAAATTTTACAACAAACAATACAAAAAAGCGAGAGGAGTGCAAAGTATAGGAAGGCTAAACAAGTCACTAAAAATAACTAAATAAAAATAGGTCACAGATTGTTTTTTTTCACTCCACATGTACAAACCAAGGCGAGGTAGTTAAAGTCTCCTAGCCACCGTGGTAGCTCCTGGAGTAGCTGGGTACCGTGGAGGTCCTCGCTAGACCCCACAGACACATCATCTTAAACACATCTCTCTGGTGGCAGGACACGAGCAGAGGAATAAAATGATTCGCTAGATTCTCCAACAGGGGCTTGCTGCAAATGATGAATATGATTGTTCATATCAATCACGTTTGCATATAGGCTGTTTTACAGTTTGGTCGTAAAAAGTTTGTGGGACATTGCACATTTAAATTTGCTAAATGGTTCGACAAGAATATTGGATGCACATTTTAGAAAGGAGGGATACCATAAATGCCACCTAAATTAGACACATTAAGATCATTTGTATTTCTTGACCTCAGGATATACAATAGAGTAGGTTCATATTCTCGGTTCTTTCGGTAAAGTCACGTAGAAGGGAAACAATAATTGACCAGTCGTCCATCTGAACAAACTGTCAAATCGCACTCCGTGGTACTAACGTTAAAAATAACCGTCATTTTTTTCAAATTTTCTTGCTGTGGTTTTCACACCTGATGATGATTGCTTGTGTTGCAGTCGAAACGTCGTGAGAATTTTATTGTTTTATATTTGTATTATTTTATTGTTTTCCTTCTACGTGACTTTACCGAAAGAACCAAGAATATGAATCCCTGCAGTTACAAAAGCTTTAAATATAAAAAATAGAGTAGGTTGTTTTATAAGATCATTTAAATCTTAATAGCTCTATGGTTTTGGATGTGCCCAGTAGATGTCAGCAAACCCTGCTGATCGTGAGAATAAATTTAGTTCATTGCACACGTGTGCGTAATCATTTGTGCACATCTTTATGTCGTGTTGTTTCAATCTACATTTTTATAATTTGTAATCTCCTTAAACTCCCATGCCCTCATATAAGAAGTATATACGTGTATTGTAACGCCAATTACATTGCAAATGTGCTCCAGGAGTCATGTAATGTGGACACTGCCTCGTGAAAGTATCACATCCTGCCAGGACAGCCGCAGCAAAGGACACCAAATCACTTCTCAAGGAATCAATTGAAAGCGATTTTTTTGAATGCAACATTTTACATAAGTCCTTGGTGCTATTTGAGTCATTTGCCACATGTCAATAATTTGATGGGGTAACACCCCGGTTTACGTCGAGGATGCGTTCCTAAAAGGTCCGACGGCGAATATCGAAACGATGTCAAAGTGATGTTACAGGGTAGTAGTGAATGGTGGTGGTGGTGGAGGCGATGGTTGAGAGGCGACGGACTACGAGAAGGGACGGACGATGCTGTCAGCGACGTAAGTGAAGGTTGAGGCGACGCTAATCATCGGGTAGCGGTGTTGATAATAAAGTGACGACGTATTTGCAAAACGACGTAAAAGGGGGAGACGTAAATTGTGGTATTTCTGTACTGTACTGTGTTACTGGGGTAGAGTTGTGATATAATAGTTTTGATTCCTGACCATCAGTGGCGAGTGATATCTGGATATGTCCTGGACCCCTTTCCCCACAAACCAGCACTGAGCAGCCTGGTGAAGTATGGTCAAACAACTCCCATGAATGACACAGCATGAGTTATTTCATCAGCTGTGGCTTGACAGAGGGTTGCAGACTTTTCTGTTAAATGATGAACTGCATTTTTTATTTATTTTGGCCTTCAGAGATGCTCCAGGACAAGATATGCGATAGTAAACCACTGGCCTACAGAGTCACCAAGGCGGCCTGTCCGCATTTTAACAGACAACGGGACAAGAAGTCGCAGCTCATCGAGACGCTGACCTTCCTCAAAAGATGCCGCGATCACAAGGTAATACCCATCGCTTTCACACTCACTTCTGCTGCTGTATCTTCTCCGAATTCTAAACAGATTCTGCTTGAGGCCAGCCTATCTTTAATCTCAGAGAGGATAAGGCTACTCCGATTTGAACTCGATACTTTAGACAGGACTCTCATACAAGCTCATTTAATGTTAACACAAAAAATGTCACCTTCTGATTGGAATCACGTAGACAACATGACTGCTTCTTCTGCTGAGTCACTGTCAGTCAAATGTAAAGCTAACCTGATTTCTAAATTCAACCACCTATCAAAGAAGAACCCAGTTCCACATATAACAAAACTAGATGTTAACAAAATCGTCATTAATCAGAGTAGCACCCCGATTTCGGACAATCTGAAAACAGTACTGGCTAGGGGACTAAATTTTGCTGTCACCCCAAAACACATACCAATAGATGATATCATCTCTCAGGTCGATGTAGCCCTCAAAGGCGTAGGACACATCCAAGCAGACGTTGCGAGAGCTGAAATAGCCACTATTCTTAAGAATGCTAAGAAACCCATTAGTAACATCAGCAAAAATGAACGCTCTGAACTCGCGAATTTAAAAAACAAGTGATATAGGCATCCTCTCAGCCGATAAAGGCAACGCTACTGTTATTATGGATAAAGATTCTTACAACAACAAAATCCAGAATCTGCTCAACGATGGAAGTTACTCAAAAATAAAAAAAATGACCCTACTAATAGCCTAGTGATAAAAACCAACAAGATCATCACAAGTTCGACCTCCCTAATCGACCCAACTAAACGTCCCTCCCTAAAACCTTCTGCTGCAAGACCCCCTAGATTCTATGGTCTTCCCAAGATTCATAAAGAAGGCACCCCACTTCGACCCATCGTATCCACGATCAACTCCCCTACCTATAGACTAGCCCATTTTCTGTCAGATACCTTGCTGCCTTTCACTGGCAAGACCGCCTCAGCAGTACTTAACTCAGCCCAATTGGTCTCTATGGTCAAAGACGTTGTACTGTCCCCTGACGATATCCTTGTCAGCTTCGATGTGGTCTCTTTGTTCACCAAGGTCCCAGTACCTGATACCATTGAAATAATTGAAAATTTGGTCCAACATGGACTAGACCCCGATACACCTGCACTGGTTAGGCACTGCCTCAACAATACCTACTTTACTTGGAATGGCTCCTTCTACAATCAAAATGAGGGTACCCCCATGGGATCCCCGTTGTCACCAGTGATAGCCAATATTTTCATGGAGAAATTTGAATCAGACGCCATCCAGACTTCCACCCTCAGACCTTCCCTGTGGAAAAGATATGTGGATGACAT